TATTGTTATGGTAACCTTATTAGTAACACACAGTGAGCATCAGCATATGTTTATGTTACTATTGTTATGGTAACCTTATTAGTAACACACAGTGAGCATCAGCAAATATTTATGTTACTATTGTTATTGTACCCTTATTAGTAACATACAATGAGCATCAGCAAATATTTATGTTACTATTGCTATGGTACCCTTATTAGTAACACACAGTGAAGATTAGGAAATATTTATGTTGCTATTGTTATGGCAACCCTACTACTAACACAGTGAACATCAGCAAATATAAATGTTATTGTTGTCATGGTAGCCTTATTAGTAACACAGTGAACATTAGCCAATATTTATGCTACTGTTGTTATGGTAACCTTATTTGTGACACACAGTGAACATCAGCAAATATTTATGTTAATATTGTTATTGTACCCTTATTAGTAACACACAATGAGCATCAGCAAATATTTATGTTACTGTTGCTATGGTAACCTTATTAGTAACACACAATGAACATAAGGAAATATTTATGTTACTTATTATTATTATTATGGTAACCTTATTAGTAACACATAGTGAACATCAGCAAATATTTATGTTACTGTTGTTATGGTACCCTTATTTGTAACACACAGTGAACATTAGCAAATATTTATGTTACTATTGTTATTGTACCCTTATTAGTAACATACAATGAACATCAGCAAATATTTATGTTACTATTGCTATGGTACCCTTATTAGTAAGACACAGTGAACATCAGCATATGTTTATGTTACTACTGTTATCGTAACCTTATTAGTAACACACAGTGAAAATCAGCAAATATTTATATTACTATTGTTATGGTACCCTTATTAGTAACACACAGTGAAGATTAGGAAATATTTATGTTGCTATTGTTATGGCAACCCTACTACTAACACACAGTGAACATCAGCAAATATAAATGTTATTGTTGTCATGGTAGCCTTATTAGTAACACACAGTGAACATTAGCAAATATTTATGTTACTGTTGTTATGGTAACCATTTTAGTAACACACTGAACATCAGTAAATATAAATGTTATTGTTGTTATGGTACCCTTATTAATAACACACAGTGAATATCAGCAAATATTTATGATATCATTGTTATGGTAACCTTATTAGTAACACACAGTGAACATTAGGAAATATTTATGTTACTATTGTTATGGCAACCTTACTAGTAACACACAGTCAACATCAGCAAATATTTATGTTACTATAGCTATGGTAATTTTATTAGTAACACACAGTGAACATCGGCATATGTTTATGTTACTATTGTTATGGTAACCTTATTAGTAACACACAGTTAACATCAGCAAATATTAATGTTATTGTTGTTATGGTAACCTAATTAGTAACACATAGTGAACATGAGCAAATATGTATGTTACTATTATAATGTCAACCTTATTAATAGCACACAGTGAACATCAGCTAATGTTTATGTTACTATTGTTATCGTACCCTTATTAGTAACACACAGTGAGCATCAGCAAATATTTATGTTACTATTGGTTATGGCAACCTTGTTAGTAACACACAATGAACATCAGCATATGTTTATGTTACTATTGTTATGGTAACCTTATTAGTAACACATGAAAATCATCAAATATTTATGTTACTTATTATTATTATGGTAACCTTATTAGTTACACACAGTGAACATCAAGAAATATTTACGTTACTGTTATGGTAACCTTATTAGTAACATATAATGAACATCAGCAAATATTTATGTTACTATTGTTATTGTACCCTTATTAGTAACACACAGTGAGCATCAGCAAATATTTATGTTACTATTGCTATGGTACTCTTATTAGTAACACACAGTGAACATCAGCATATGTTTATGTTACTATTGTTATGGTAACCTTATTAGTAACACACAGTGAACATCAGAAAATATTTATGTTACTGTTATGGTAACCTTATTAGTAACATATAATGAACATCAGCAAATATTTATGTTAGTATTGTTTTGGTAACCTTATTAGTTACGTGCAGTGAACATCAGGAAATATTTACGTTACTATTGTTATAATACCCTTATTAGTAACACACAGTGAACATCAGCATATGTTACTATTGTTATGCTAACCTTATTAGTAACACACATGAAAATCAGCAAATATTTATGTTACTATTGTTACTGTAACCTTATTTGTAACACACAGTGAACATCAGCAAATATTTATGTTGTTGTTATGGTAACCTTATTAGTTACACACAGTGAACATCAGCAAATATTTATGTTAATATTGTTATTGTACCCTTATTAGTAACACACAGTGAGCATCAGCAAATATTTACGTTACTGTTGTTATGGTAACCTTATTAGTAACACACAGTGAACATTAGGAAATATTTATGTTACTTATTATTATTATGGTAACCTTATTAGTAACACATAGTGAACATCAGCAAATATTAATGTTATTGTTTTATGGTACCCTTATTTGTAACACACAGTGAACATCAGCAAATATTTATGTTACTATAGCTATGGTAATTTTATTAGTAACACACAGTGAACATCAGCATATGTTTATGTTACTATTGTTATGGTAACCTTATTAGTAACACACAGTGAGCATCAGCAAATATTTATGTTACTATTGTTATTGTACCCTTATTAGTAACATACAATGAGCATCAGCAAATATTTATGTTACTATTGCTATGGTAATTTTATTAGTAACACACAGAGAACATTAGGAAATATTTATATTACTATTGTTATGGCAACCTTACTTGTAACACGTAGTGAACATCAGAAAATATTTATGTCACTATTGTTAGGACAACTTTACAATAGTAAATGACAAGACAGTAATTGGAAAATTGATGATGGATAAATAATAGGTTTAATTTGTTTGTGCTCCGTGGAAGAGTAAATAAGTAAAAAGAACAAGCCTTGACTTAGTGAGAAATGTTTGTTTGTAGAACGAATGATACTAAATTTTGTAGTTTTGTTTTTTGCAGGATTAATATAACACAGTACGAAAAGAAGCTAAGAATAGATCAACATATGAAAAAGATGAAAAGGAAGCATCACAGATTAAGGAATGAAAATAAAATTGAAAAGGACATAATAGGTACGGCTGATATTACTACAGTTCACAAACCCAAAAGGGACTGTGAAGAACTTAGAATTGTTTCTCCATTGGAATGCTGTAGCATTAATGGAGAAAATGCTTCAAATGCGAACACTGGAGCACAAGATTCTCAGCAGTCAGATGATGTTGAAGTTGTATACGTCTCAAGTAAAAAGGATTCTAGCTGTTCTTCAGTATATAACGAGGAGTCAGCATTTAACCTTACAGAAAATACTTGTGATAGAAACCTACTTCAAGAAATTACACCTGGTGATGAACCAGAAGTTATCTATGTATCTCCATCAATGAAACAGAGAAATCCATCTTATCTGGAGAACTTCAGTGCAATGTGTAATTCCCAGACAGGTACTAATTGTGAGAAAAAGCAAAACACTTTTGAATTTCCTAATATGTATGGAAAACAGCAAGTAATTTTGACCAAGCCTCCAGCCTGTTTAATTCCTTCCAGTATAACCTTCCAGAATGATTCTTATACTTTTGATGTTAGGCTCATGACAATGAAAGACACAGAAATGAAAATGAAGCCCACAGACTTTAATAGATGGACTAGCTCTTCTCCTCGTCACCATAGAAACAATGATGAAGGAATACGAGAGAAAAGAAGTAGGGATTATTACAGGCAAAATTTTAGAAATACTGAAAAACATAAGTCCTCATTGTATGATTCCCCACGAGGTTCATCCTGGCAGAGCTCTAATTGGTCAAGAAATGACAATTATAATCAGTATTCATGTGATTACAGAAACTTCCATGCCAGGAATTTTAGTGATCCAGGAATATATAACCAGCAAAGCACATCTCAAGTGTCATTCCATCAAGGATACAGTAACTACCCACTGCAGAACCAGTTTACTGCTCATGCCTCATGGAGTTACTATGGCCACCAGGGTCAGGTTTCATCAGTAGGAGTTTGTGAACCTACCAATATCATGAACAGCCAGTGGAGTTCACAATCACCATACATGTTTTCAAGTTACTTTCAAACAAATGAAGCACCACATGGCACCTGTTATGGAAGAGAAGCCAGCAGTTCTTACATTCATCGTGATTCTTATAGCTCAACTAACCAGTCTGCTTTGGTTAATGAAAGTGTTGTGCATGATCAGAATTCAAACTCCAAAAGTTATAGTAACAGAGATTTCTCAGAGGCTCACATGAAAAACCAAAGAAATGAACCGAAAGGTAGTTCAGAAAAGCTAAGAAATCTAAATGGCAGTTCGTGTTCAATGAGGCATCATCGAAATGAGTTCAGAGAAATGTGTGGTAACAAAAGAAAACATCCATCATCATCATCATCTTATGTAGAAAAACCAGATGACTATATATCCTTGATCCCAAAACTTAATGTTCCTGTTTCTAATTGGAATGAATTTAAGAAAGAACTTTTAAAAGAAGAGTCTTTGGAAAAGTTGTTGGATGGACCTGGGAAAGTTCTTTGGAAGGGAGTTGTTAAACCTTTGGTTCAACCTGTGGAAGGCCTTGCTGTAGGTAGGTTTTGTCACCCAATCCAGATTCATTTTGTGTGCTTGTCACATTCTCTCAAACTAGAAATAAGGAGCTTAAAAATCAAAATTATTTTAACATCCAGTCTGTAAGTTTACTCTTAACATCCAGTCTGTAAGTCATTGGGACATGTTTGATTATTTACTCTTGACATCCAGTCTGTAAGTCAGTGGGACATGTTTGATTATTCACTCTTGACATCCAGTCTGTAAGTCAGTGGGAAATGTTTGATTATTTACTCTTAACATCCAGTCTGTAAGTCAGTGGGAAATGTTTGATTATTTACTCTTAACATCCAGTCTGCAAGTCATTGGGACATGTTTGATTATTTACTCTTGACATCCAGTCTGTAAGTCAGTGGGACATGTTTGATTATTCACTCTTGACATCCAGTCTGTAAGTCAGTGGGACATGTTTGATTATTCACTCTTGACATCCAGTCTGTAAGTCAGTGGGAAATGTTTGATTATTTACTCTTAACATCCAGTCTGCAAGTC